GGAATCCAGTCAAGAAGCGAGCGCTCCGCCTTGGCACTTAGCGCAATCCCAACGCCAGCAACACCGCGAGATTCGGATGCCGAATCGCCTAACACACGAAGGGTGAAGGGTTCTAGCAAGGGCAGATTGTTGGCCAATCTGATAGAGCGTGCGGACATTGAACGCGGTCAAGTGAAAAGGGGATTTCGCCTTTAAAAATCTTATAGCTTCTGATTGTCTGGTCTGTTTGCAAAACGTTGACTGACATTCGATGGGTGGTGTAAACAGGAGGCATCTGGGATTATTCGGGGTTGAGAAGAAGAACTAGACAGATGGAAAAGATGGTTGTCCAAATGGGTGCCTAAGACTTTAGGGCACGACATACTTCGCGGTAGCCCACACCNGTTTTTTTTGGGAACCCTAACCGGAGCCTTTGACTCAAGAGTCTGACCCACAAGGCAGTGGGGAGTAAATCCAACGCGGGAGCGTGAACGAAGCACCCCTGTGGGAGCTTCTGGAGACTTGTCAAGCAAGGCCTTTGAATTTCGGTTAAGTTTGTTGTTTGCTGGTGCGTTGGTTATCGGTCCGCTTTTCAGGATCAGCCCTTAGCCGCATGCATCCAATGAAACAAGCACTGGTACATAAAACAGTATCCGTATTTACCATTCAAGCTCTTATTTCGGAAAGCGTTACAACACAACCTACCGACAATCACGATAGTAAAGCTGGCGCATGCCATCCACGATAGCTTGCATAGCATTTTCTTGAGTAAATTTTTCGGGGTCGCCACCGGCCTGATCTGCTAGTCTCTGGCGGAGCAGTGGTAAGGCAAGGTACGTCCCGAACCCGGATGCCAGACAATCATCAGCGAATGCTGAAAATGGTTGCACAAAAATATTACTCAGTACCAGTTTTTTAGACGGTCAATAGTTTACATGTGAAAAAAAACCAGACACCATAATCAAATGTCACTGCAAACAAACACAAACACTGGTTACCACAGAAAAAATCGATATGCAAATGCAATAGTAATTATAACTTTTGTAGGTGTAAAGCCTAAGTTTAAGTAAAAATATACAAAATGGGGAGAGGGAAGAAAACAAGTCCCAAAACTTTCAACAAATTGTGTGAAAACCTGCTCTTTGTTAACTAGAATAGGTAATAAAGAGGGTACTGTACAGTTGCTGCCCCTCTTCACCATTTCTGTATTTTCCCCAGACAGCCTTTGGATGGCCGCTACCGCCTTCCTGAAAGTTGACGGTACATTTGTTCATACAATAAATAAGGAATGAAGTAAAAATACATTTATTTATTGATGTTTACTCGAGTGGGAATACAACCTTGGGATCCAGCTGACAATGGGAACGACAAGAAGTTAAATCTGTGTAGTGGATGCGTGAGGTCGATAAGAATATTGTGCAAATTTTTCACAAGTATTCAAATGATGTTCGCAAAGGCAAGTTGTCAACTCTTCCAGCGGTGTTGAAGAGACGCGGCTGATGATGCTCAGTCCACGTCGAAACAGGTTAGTCTTTGCTTAGGAGATTAGAAAAAACAACAGGTGAATAATAAGGTACAACGGGGAAAACACTGGTAAAGGAATTCGGATATTGCTGAATTCGAAACTGACCAAGTTTATGGATATGAAAGGAAAACCGTCGAATTTTACCGACCATATGGTGAATGTGAGAGGTCCAATAAGGACTATCAATGATTAAAAATCCAGGTATTTAATACAGCTTACCCAGGATACTGGTTCAGAGTCAATCAATACCGGTTTAGATGGGAAAGAAGAACGTGAGAAGATAAAGAGACATCATCAGTGTATTTCAGGAGTGAAGTAGGAGAGCTAGCAGGTAAGTCGCTCACATACGTAGAAAATAAATATGGGGAAAGGACTGCACATTGGAGCACCCCAGAATTATTCACCAATGGTCTGGACTTTCTCCGACCTAGCTTGAAGCATTGAGATCTCCTTGTCCTCCAGACTGGGGGTTCGACTCAAGTAGGCATCTCATAGGGTAAAATGATAGAGGAGTAATCGAACCAAGTAAATGGGCTTCCGCTTCGCTTCACCCGCTGCCATGCGGTTAGGTTGTTGTTAGAACTAAAGATTTTAGACTAGAACCTTAATCGTCCTCCTGCTTAGTGACTGGACACCCGGGCAGTACCCATCCATCAAACCCCAATGGATACACAAACTAAAAACAATTGCATACTGCATCGATCGTCGCGCAGGATAATCAGGACTGCGCTGCACATTGCACCAAGCAGAGTGGGTAGTGATAAGTGGGCTACTACTCAGATATCCCAAACTTTGTTTAACTCTCTTCCGTACCCAATCCTCTCCTTCAACCGTTCTTCCGACTCCTAACATTCCTTCAGATAATTCGGTAGTCACTAGCCAAAGTTCGTCGCCAAGTAGCGTGGTAAGTAGTTTACCATAAAATAGATTGCAGATTCTTAAGCCTCGTCAATTACTGAAATCTAGAGATCTTCAACATGACGACGCTGATGCAGTTAGGTTAACAAGCGTGTCTAACGCGTACGATGGACTCTTTGGGGATTA